CCATAGTACCTTGCCCGCAAGCGACCAATGGAAGGATGTGGAGAGGGGAAACGATAAGCAAGATTCAAGCAGGATTCAAGGGAGGAGAAACTTCTGGCAGAATGAGATGACTTTCTGGTTCATATCAGTGAGAGATAGTTGGGGGAGGAAGGAACCAGGATGTTAAAGTTGATATTTGGTGCCTAATAGCGGGGCGAAAAGGTTCCCTCCTCTATTTTTTCTTTTTACATGCTCAATCAATCATCTGGAATCCAGAGCAATCTATGCTGGCATAGTTGCAGTATTGAAAAAAGGGGAGATTCTCCTCACTACATATGAAATGGATAGTAATCTCAATGTCATAATCAATGATCAAAATAATATAAGTAGGGTAACAAAAGACCAGATGTTCAAGGTCTGAGTATTGAGACACAAAGATAAATGGATAGCTTTTGAACCTTATACACCCGTAAGTCATCTGACCCTAGACCCGGTTATCTGGACATGGTCCAATACAAGAAGAAAAGGAACGAAGTACTCTTGTGCTTTCCACACGCTGTCAGTAAAATCCACTTACAGGATGCTTCGGCCCATAATTATCTTAAATGATAAAGTTGAGAAAAGATGGATGAAGCATCTCAACATTAATAAAGAATCATTAAAAAAGGTAAAATGGTTTAGTAAGACCAAAATTAAGACTGCTAAAGTGGCATCACTACAATGGCAAATAGAACATAGGTGCCTACCTACAAATAACTGGCTTATAGATAGAACAACATTGGAACAAAGGGGAATAACACTTCCCTGGTGTAAATTTTGTAGGTCGCCGTTTCCATCCAAATTAATTCCTGAAACTATCGAGTATGTCTTCCTTCAATGTCCCGGGGAAGTTTGGCTTTGGAGGTGGTGGGATCGTATATGGTCTAATCTCGAAACACAAATCTAGTGACCATCGGACTGGAAAACCCTTCTTCTTGAAACCTGGTCCCCTGAGTCTATTGATGAATTTTCACAAAATTTGTTCAATATAGGCAGAAGAGCGGTACTATGGGCCATATGGTTAAGGAGATGTACATATGAAATGGAGGGGGTACGGCTTGACGGACCGGAATTAAAAGACACAATTAAACAGCAAATACAAACAGACATTATTATGGAATGAGAACAGTGCAAGAAAAAAGTTCAATTCTTATCTTCGAAAAAAGAAATACTTCAACACATACAACGATTCAACCAATCAAGGCTAGGAGGAACCCATGGAGGAAAGATAAGGAAGGTTAAATGGGAAGGTGCAAAGAGAGGTGAAGAAGAAGAGCTGAGACGGGATTATTATCTTGCTTTCAATAATTGGACTATGATAGAACCAGTAATCCCCTTACGACCAGTATCGGAGTTTCCAGACCCCTTTCCCCCCACAGGGCTGAGTATAGTCTCAAGGGCTTGGTATGGATATGAATGAATATGAGAGTAGGGTTGATCCTGTAAAGCAGGAAGGGTGGATTACGAAGAAATAGTGCTAGGGTGATGTTGTTTGGATCTGGCGCCCCTATGGGGTGTAGAGGCACATTCCTATTTGGCCACTCCGGGTAGACTGTGAGGACCCCGGCCTCAATCTTATTTTGGTAATATAAGCCTTGGGCACTGGGCCTTAAAAAAAAAAAAAGGAGGAGAGGAGTGTCATCAGCAACACCCTTCAGCACCCTGCTCCGTTAATCCTCTGGAAATCCAGAGTAATCAATGCTGGCAGGTTTTTTTCAAATATTCTGTCATGTTTTCTGCTTTCTGATTCATCTTGTTTCATTCTGTAACAGGGGTGCTGGACCCGTTTTCCAGCAGGTGATGCTCCCCACCAATAGAAGGAGTCTCTCCTCAAGGTGGTAGTGGTGTCTGCTCTTACCAGCACCACTAGCACTAGAGGGGTTGTTATAAAAAAAAAAAGAAAAAAAAAAGAAGGGTACGTTTGAGGACAGTCCTTGACTCACCATAAGCGAAACTGACTTAGGCTGCCAGGATAACTCCGGGTTAAATTGTGAGGATCCCCGGCCTCGATCGTTGATTTTTTTTATTTTATTTTATTAAAGCCAGGGTTACTGGCGTTCGGGACGGGCCGAACGCCCGAATCCGAACTCCGGAATGTACGGGACCCCTTCGGAAGGCGTTCAGCCGTTCGGGCCGAACGCGGACCAAAAAAAAAAAAAAAAAAAAAAAAAAAAAAAGATTTTTAATTCCGACAAAAAAATATGTTATGGAGAAAAATAAACTAAACAACCTTTGCTTGGGCACTACATCCAAATTCGTTACCAAATTTGAATAAAAAACAAATACAGAAAATAAACACTATGATAAAAATAAGAAAAAATAAAAAGAGAACTAAAATGAGTGAGTGTGCCAGCACCTTTTCGACACCGCCATCTTTGCCGATTTTTAATTATTTTTTGGCATTAACAAATGCCCTGAAAATTTACAGATATGTAGTTTACATAATCAATAACTCATTAAAAAATGTTTAAAAAATAATAAATTTTTTTAGGCCCCGAAATAAAGTGAAAACAAAAAGTTCAAAGTGAAAAAAAACAAAATAGTGAGTAAGGGAGCACGTTTTGACACCCCCATCTTTAATGTTTTTTCGGCTTAGCAGAATGGCTTCAAAATTTATACGCATGTAGGTTACATCATAGAGAACGCACAAAAAAACATTTAGAGACAAAAAGTTATTTTTAGGCCCTGAAAACGTTTTTGGCAGGGGCCGAACCTGGAGGTGTTCGGCCCCCGAACGGGACCCCGAACGCCCGAACGTTCGAACGCCCGAACGTTCGGGGGCCAGCCCGGGGGCCCCCGAACGTTCGGTCAGGTGACCCTGATTAAAGCCATATTCTTCTCTCAATTTCACCTCACACTTCCTACCTACCACTACTCCTAATTGTAGGCATACGGGGATCGGCGTAGCAGCCAGAACAGTGCATGAGAGAGAACATGCGGGGGCTGCTCCCGACCTGCAGGTGGGCAATACCGGCTCGGGGCCAGGCGGTGGCATCAGGGACCATGCCAACAGGACCAATCCCTGTGCCTGCCCTCAGTTCCCCTCCCCTACGAACATCAGCAGACTCTGCTCAATGCAGATCGGGGGATCCAGTGGTCTATCTCTAGGTGGCCGGCGCCAAGCATGCGCAGGAAGGTCCATGAGGAAGTGGGTATTGGACCCATCACCTCCTGAATGCCACTTCCGAACCTTACCAACTTTTTTTTTTTCCCTTTTTTTGGCAAGAACCTTACCAACTGGATTGTTGAATGTTTTCCAATGAAAGAGACAAAAAAAAAAGAACAAAAAAAAAGAAAAGAAAACGAAAAAAAAGAAAAAGAAAAAAAAAAGATAGGTTGACTTGTACCGACTGTTACTGTTAGTTGCTACTCCTTTGAATTTGAAGAAAAACAAGCGGTCTCTATTTCATCCAGCTGATGGGTTTTGTCGCCACGTGTGGCCCTAAAACTCGCTGCTGCGGATTTTCCTTTTTTCCTATTGGAGCCCCGCCCGTCAGCCGGGGCTGAGCCCACCGCTCGCCTTCCTCTTCACACGGTGACTCCCTCGAGGAGTCTGCTTATTTCCGAGTGCAGGGGCCAAGTCCCACAAGCGGTACCAACGCACGCATCTGCAACCTGTATTTAGACCGGAGGATCTGCCAAGTACAGCTAGAATGACCATGCGTTGTACTCGGGGGAAGAATGTGGGCGGACTTGGGGCATCGTCGGGGTAAGCCATCGTCGCACTTGACCTTAACCGACCTTTATTCTTGAAAAAAAAAAAAAAATCTACCTGAAAAAAACAAAAACAAAAAAAGACCCTAAAAAAAAAAAAAGACCGAGAAAGCTACTCGAAGCACTTCTCACCACAACAAGGCCCTTGGCCACACAGGAAGGAGTCGTTAAACCCGAAAAAAAAAAGAAAAAAAAGAAAAAGGAGTCGTCAAAAAAAAAAAGAAAAAAAAAAGGAGTCGTCTGGGAGTTTTCCTCACCACTTGCGGTCGCTCTCGACGCTGTCGGGGACCGCGACGCCCTCCCCAACCACTTCCCAGTCGGACCACCTTTTTTAAAAAAAATATTAAATAATGATCTATTATATTATTATAGCTAGTCAATCACATTTTTCGAGTCCGATAGCGATCACATTGCGCGCCAAAAGGAAAAAGGACAAAGCGCCATACACGAGGGAGGAAGGTAGGCAAAGGGGGGAAGAGAGGGGGGGGTGGGGGGGGAAGGGCGGCAACAATGTTCATGTAGACGCTATAAAATGGGTTTTGCCGCCATCTTGCTCCACACACCACTTGAACGCGAATCCGAAAGCTTGCAGCCCCCTTCCCGCGCAGCGCAGTTTGTGTCTGTGCCCCGTAGATCTTCGTGGTTGGTAGGAGATTGGAGAGAGAGAGAGTTGGCTCATTTAACAAGCGGCAAATTCATATTCCAATCAAACGTAACGTACTCCTCAGGATTCCTGTGCGTTTTGCTCCTTCCTTATATGTCATCATACCTCCCAGGTAATAATGACAAGGCATCAGAAGAGTTATATCCAATCGACAACAGAAGGCCTCCCGCTTATCGCTTGGAATTTCCATAATCAGTGGGATTGAGTCGCAGAGCCATTTCTTTCTGTCTTGAAATTATCGGCTTCATGCCGAACGGCTGGTGTGCAGAAAAGGAGTGGAGGTGACGGCAGGTCCTCGGGTAGTCTTACTTGTGTTCGAGAAATTCAGGGTGGTCGTTTCTTCGCTCATTGCCTCACGCGTGGCAGTGCTGGCCATTCTTTCTCCTCATCTTCGTCTTTCCGTTTCGTAAGGATTGTGTTTGTCTGCTCCTTCCACTGTTGCATTTTCTCGCCCTAACTTTTCTCTGCATTCCCGCTCATCGGTCACGTCCTGATTTCTATCGAGCTTGTCCCGAATTAGAGTAGGTGAATCCTGTTGTGTCCATCTTCTGATCGGGCGGTTTAAGGGTATGCGATAATCGTGAGCGTGGTAGGAAGGCTAAGGCTGGACGTGAGAAGCCGTGGTAGTGACGCGGTTGATCGTAAATTCACAGTCCGACGGGAAGTGTCGAGGGCAAGGTAAACGAAGCAGCGGCAGGAAGCGAGGAAGGCAACGAAGAACAAAGACAATCCGGCATGGACCGGAGCGGAGCGTCTCTGGCGTACTACGAGCGCCCTCTGTCATCATCAGAGTCGCAGGCTCGCTCTGCGGTGCTTCAAGGGTGCGGGTTAAAGGAGTCGGACTACTCGTTGATTTTTCTGCCTAATGCGCGATCAGGTCTGGACATAATGGCGAACGCGTATCCGTTCGCGCGATATCCGATGTTCTTGAACTGCTTGACAGGAGCGGAGGGGAAGGGATTGACGGACGCGGCGGAGAGGGTGAAAGGCAGGGTACTTGCCGCGCAGCAGACATGGTTGAATCTGAATATCGCGGGCTCGCAGCTGAGCCTAACGATCCGGAGGAAGTCGTCGAGGGCGGGAGCTTATGGCGGTCCGAAGGGATTGTTTGCCTATCCGTTGATCCCAACAGTGAGCAAGGGCTCGCAGGCGTGCTCGCGCTACTCACTGCACTGGATATCTGAGGCGCAAAGGAATGGCTGGCATGTTCTCCTCGATGCGTCGGCAATTTCCTTGGGAATGGACAAGCTGGATCTCTCATTGCACAGACCGGACTACGTCATCTGCAACTTCACGCAACTCGCCGGCTACTCGTCTTCCATCAGCTGCCTCGTCTTCCGCAAGAGTCTTAGATCACTCTGAACGGACCCCAGCTGCAGAAGAACACATTCGAGGGGAAGCGGTGGGGGGGGGGCGTGGGTTGGCGGTCTGTAGCCACGTGCCAATACCCCATTCATTCTTTATCATTCTTTCCATCGTCCGTACGGTCGCAGCTTTGTCTGAGACCATCCATAATAAAACTATTATGGCCGGATCCAGCATTCGCGGTGGGGGGGGAGGGGTTTGTAGGTACGTGCCAAGGCCCATTTCATTCTTTATCATTCTTTCCATCATCGGTATGGTCGAGGCTCTCTCTGAGTCCATAGATGATGAGGCTGTCAACGCCGGATCCAGCATCCGCTCGCGACGATTGTGTTATCGTATGTTAGCAAGTGTACAGCCATAGGTAGGTTATTGAGCAGCAGTAGCATCAGCCTCAGCTGTGGCGTGTGCTTATCAAGGATTTTCACTCTCTCGCCGTTCTCTCAAATCTTTTCTCTCCCCTTTGGTTACACTGTCGGATAGTGCACACCAGGCTGTGGTCTCAGATGGTCAGGCGAGAAGTAGACATAGATGGAAAGGATTGTGTGCGTGGTTTTTTGTGCACGTGCACAGAGACACACACACACACACAAAGAGAGAGAGGGAGAGAGATAGATAGATAGATAGATAGAGAGAGAGAGAGAGAGAGAGAGAGAGAGAGAGAGAGAGAGAGAGAGAGAGAGAGAGAGAGAGAG